AGAGCCCATGCCTTGATCTACAAACTTCCTTTTTATCAGTTTAGTTCGGCATGGAAGTGACTAGAGTTGGTTTAGAGCATTTCCCCCAAATGTGTCTATCCCTGTTAACCGCTAATCCAGATGATGGTATCTACTCTTTGATCAGAATCCATCCTTACATTTTTGCTTACTTTCCTTTATTCATTATGTCCCTCTCAATCTCCTTTTCCTACTCGCTTTCTTCCTCTAAAAGACTGGGTGAGACTCATATGTTTTAGGGCGGCCTAAATTAAGAAATCCCTCCACATTCAGTTATTTAAAACTGAAAACACCTTTGTTAATATGAAAATACCCTGATTTCAGTCATTTTTATTTACAATTTGCAGAAAGCCCTTCCAGTTGAAAGCCACTAGAGTTTGTGAAAATAATTAACCCTAACACAGACAATCAACTCAGAGAATTCTTTTGAGAAGCTGAAGATATAATGTTAGCAGCATTTATCAAGACAAATCTAATTGGAGAATTGGGCTAATTAGACAAATTATCTACCTAATATCTTATCATGTGAAAACAGCTATTTGAGTACTTTTCCCCCTTCGATTTGCTGGCACGTGAATTTATTCTAGAGTCAATGCAAAACGAAACAACCCTCCATCTTGTCCATGTACCAACATAAAGTGTTCTTCAATCCATACCACACCTAGCTCCTACTTCTGTTAAAAGAGATTGTGCATGCAAGAAACATGATTACCCTTGTGAATAGTTGGTTTCCAGAATTGAAGTTAAATATGCATTGTGAAATGCATTGTTCCATTTTTCTTTTTCATCTTCTTAAGTAATGAGGGTGGCTTTCCAAGACCAGTTCTTGCAAGTAATATTATTTTTCATTCCAAAACATATTTTGTTGCCTGGAGTGAAAGAAGATGTTTTTGCCTGGCTTGATCTTTATATTTTTAGACTTGTGATTATCTTCTAATTCCATCCTAACCCACTTCATTTTGCTTTAGCAAGAATCATTAAATGATGAAGGGCAATGATGAAAAGTAGTTTTCTCAAACAAATAGACCATTGTCTAAGACCCTGACGATACTATGCCAAAAAAAAACAGGGATCAATTATATTAAGAAAAATCTTCTATTATTTAGATCTGTTTCTGATTTTGTAATGTTTTTCTTCCAATTATTTTGTGTCTAATTTCTAGTCCTCTCATTTATTACAAGTCCCTCTCTCTTCATTTGAAAAAAATTAAAAATTACTTTTAATATGTCATCTAAATTTTTTGTCTTTCTAAGGAAAGTGAGTACTACCATCCCCCATTTTACAGATGGGAACAGTGAGTCATTAAATAAATTGCTCAGGATAGCTCTGCTATTAAGTGGCAGAGGCAGAATTACTTGGGTGGAGAGCCCAGGCATTTAACTTGACCTAAGGCACACCATAAGTTTCAAATTAATCCATTTTTGGAGCTTGTGAGCTATTCTTATAATTTAAAAAAATTATTGATTAGATAAGATTACAGCTAGATGATATAAAATTTATTGAGATTTTTATAAAATATTTAAGTTGGCTAAACTATCTTCTAGTAATATGCCCACAAAAACATCAAAATGGACATCAAATTCAGTTATATTTGATTGAAATGTTTTGTGAGTGACATAAAAAAGTGATTGTTTTTCACTAATGTGTCTATTAATTGCCATTGAGTCAGATATTTCCTTGTGCTTGTGGCCTTTGACACAATCACAGCAAACACCTCAGAGGAGAATAGAGATCATCTAGGTTTAGATTAGAAAACCCTAGTTTAGTGTCTCAGTCATTTCTGTTTTCTCTAGACTTTGCTTTTTGTGGGTGGGTTTACAAAATTCAATGTTATAACTTCTACTTTCATGGTACAGTCTCCAGATGGCTGACTAAAATTTATTCCATCACCTTGAGGTTATCCAAGTTTCCTACAAAGCAGAAGTAGATGTGGGGTAAACATGCAAGCACCCAAAATAGCTTATTTGAGGATATAAATCCTTAGATATATTGTAATGTATGGTGGAATTGTATTTTTTTAAATGGCACAAATATCATCAAGAGGTAGAGAAAAGTTAATAGCTTCTGGATGTATTCTGTGGTTTTTATTCCCTTACTGTTCATCAAAATGTACATTTAGGGAAGCCACAACTCTTAGTTTAAATGCATAAAGTTCTGATTGGCCTATCTTATCTTCAACACTACAAATAGTTTTCATATCTCCAAGTGCCTAAAATTGACTTTCAGCTAAGGTAAGCAATGTCTTTGAAAGGGTCAGTTATAGATTGAACTACTTGTTCTACTACTTTACCCCTTCTCACTGCTGTATTTGACTAGTCTAAAAAAAAAAAAAGATGTATATTTTAAAAGACAGCAATAAACACCATTTGAAAAAAATTATAGAAGTATTTCTGGTAAAATCTGTTTAAGCCTTTTTGATTGAATATTCTTGGGGGGGTGGGAATTGAGAAGATTGTTAGATTTTTCTAAGCAATGTTATATTTAATACCCAAATCATAGGTTTATATGATTAACAAAAGGTAGATATTTTCTATATTAATGACTATGATTGCAAAAAAACCTAAAGGAATTTATACAAATTAAAAACTTTATTATAGTAATTGGGAAATTCCAAATGGCTCTGCAGAGGGAATTCATGGTCATTCTGCCACCAACATCTGATGTGATAATATTTAAATGTCTACAGTTGCTTAAGAGGCTGGGTACAGTGGCTCATGCCTGTAATCCTAGCACTCTGGGTGGCTGAGGTGGGAGGATGGCTTGAGCTCAGGAGTTTGAGACCAGTCTGAGCAAGAGCAGGACCCCATCTTTATTATAAAATATATATAAAAAAATTAACCAGGCATGGTGGTATGCACCCATAGTCCCAGCTACTTGGGAGGCTGAGGCAGGAGGATAGCTTGAGCCCAGGAGATTGAGGTTGCTGTGAGCTAGGCCTACCCCACTGCCCTCTAGTCTGGGCAACAGAGTGAGACTCTGTTTCAAAAATAAATACAATGAAAAATAAAGTTGCTTAAGGAAGAAATATTTAATCAGTAAGTGTCCTTTGGCCTTCAAAAGCACCCCTTCCCCAAATTGTCACATACTTTCTAGTTAACGTAATTCATTTCTTTGTGCCCTAAACATAGTCTCTTCATTTACCTAAATGAATTATAATTCCAGCTCTTTCTTTCCTCTTCCCCTCACCCTTACCTACCCAAACCCTATCTCCTCCGCAGTCTTTAACTTTCCTTGATCCCTTGCCCTATCACTATGGCTTTGCAAACCACTTTTTCCGCTTTCAATAACTCCCCTTTTCACCACCCATATATAAATGGGTGGTGAAATATATAAACCATATAAGGTTTCTTTCTTTACAATTTAACTCTCTTCTTTGTGAAGTATATGATTCCCTTCATCCCAGGTTGCTTCATTCCTGCAAGGCTTTTTGCACTTTCCTAACCTGGATTTGTTGATTTATTGTCCCAAAATAAGTGCTGTCAATCTTTTTCACATGTTTATGTTGTATCTCCCAAAGGAGATTATGGTCTCTTTAAAAGAATGTCTTCTGTTCCGGGCACGGTGGCTCATGCCTGTAATCTCAGCACTCTGGGAGGCAGAGGCTGGCAGATTGCTAGGGGTCAGGAGTTTGAAACCAGCCTGAGCAAAAGCAAGACCCCGTCTCTACTATAAATAGAAAGAAATTAATTGGCCAACTAGTATATATAGAAAAAATTAGCCGGGCATGGTGGCGCATGCCTGTAGTCCCAGCTACTCAGGAGGCTGAGGCAGGAGGATCGTTTGAGCCCAGGAGTTGGAGGTTGCTATGAGCTAGTCTGATGCCACAGCACTCACTCTAGCCTGGGCAACAATGCGAAATTCTGTCTCAAAAAAAATGTCTTCTAAAAATTCCATCTACCTGAAGTACCTAAGACAGTGTTCACTTCATAAAAAGTTGCTGGATAAAGGCTGTTGATTGATTGGACTATTGTATTTTCTGTTCCAGGAAAACCAGCACAACATGATTTGCACATCTTTTGCTTCCTTACAAAAATTAAAAAGCGAGGACTACCAACTAGTAGCAATTCTCACACCGTTCAGCTTTCTACTTTAAATTTATACAGAATGCATGGTGGCCGCAGAAGTGGTGTTTTTGAGGTGAGTATGGTGGTGAAATCAAATATAAGCCATCCAAGTACTTAACTCAAAAAAATCAAGCAGAATCGTTGGAGTTAATGTGAAACTAGATGTTGTTTTGAGTTCATTTGCAAGTCCCAAGCAGGCTATCCAGAAGTCTTCACTGTACTATCGAAGCCTACCGTGAAACTCATGGCAAATTGAAAAATACACGAAGACAAACGTGATGTAAACTTTAAACTCACGTTACACTGTTACAACCATTCCCACAAGTATCTACGGATAAGGAGAGAATTAAAAAATCCATAAATATGGGAGATGGGCGTGGGGGGAGGGGAGGTGGAGAAATCTCTAGAGATAGCCTAAGGCCCCAAGGTGGCCTGTACCACCAGTAGGCGTTCAATCCATCTGCGGGTCGCTGATGAGATTCAGCACGCTGGCCAGCTCCCCGGCCCGTCGGGTTTATTGGCCTGAGGAGAAGGGGGAAGGAAGGCAGCCACCACCATCTGCTGCTTTGTATTAATAGTTTACCCGAGAGGCAGGGGTGAAGACGGCGCGACAGGGTCTATGCGTTAGATGTGGACGCCCCTGAGTTCCTGGGGTGTCTTTGTCTGATCTCGGGGTCCTCACTCCTCCACCCACATCCCCCAGCGAGCCACAAATGGCGTGAGACCTGAGCAACCAGAAACCCTTCTATTTCGCTGTAGTAATCCCAGTTCTTGGGAACTGAGGAAGATTCATCATAGCTTTTTTTTGGGGGGGGTGGTAGAGAAGGGAGGGGGGTTCCACTTAAATGGGCGAGCCGCATGGTCGATACGCCAATCCACTCAAAAGCTGATTCGCATTTATTTTAATCAGAGCAGGAGCAGGTGGAGTAAGTCACAGGAATCAGAGTTTACACAGGTGGGACGAACACGCTGCGCAGCCCCCACCGCCCCCGCGTCCCAGGTGTAAAGAAGCCCGAGGATGCGAGATGTGGACCCTTTCTTTTCCGCACGGGATCTCGCGGGCTTCCTCCTCCCTGAGACGCCTTGATTTAGCGTTTCCAAACAGACGGCCCGCTCCTGGGGGGCTGGAAGTCATCGCTGGGTTACTTCTCCCTCCCCCAAGAACTTTTTGTCCGCGAGAGGGGCAGAGGACAGGAGACAGGGAGAGCTGGGGAACGAGGAGGAAATTATCCACAGAGGGGAGGGGGCGAGGAGGGGAGGGTGGCAAGGCAGTAAGGTCAGAAGTGCTGAGGCTGGGGGGCTTTGGGGACGCCTGGCGCTCCCCCGCTCCAGCCCTCTGCAGCAGCCCTTTCCGCCGCGGACACGGGAGAGTTAAGCCAATAAACACGTAAGCGCCGCTCCCTCCCCAATCGGCAAGATGCCTCTCCGGCTCTGGGCTGCACCGACAGCTTGCAACGCTCGGCATCTTTTCTGGAGGCGCCTCCTTCGGCGGCCGCAGATGGCATCCGGCTGCGGGCTCGGGGCTCGCCATTGATTCTCCCCTGGCCCACCCCGGGTCCGCGGACGCACCTCTCCCTTCCCCTCCCCCCCTCCGCTCCTGGGTCTGAGCCCGCTGGCCTCGCGGGCAGAGGGAGCAGTCGCGGCGGCCGAGCTGAGCAGCAGCAGCAGCAGCAGCGCGCTCGCTCCCTGACCGGGGGACAGGCGCCCGCCCGGGAGAACTGCCCCTCCGGCGCCCCCACCTTTTGCACCCCAAGCCGGGGGCTCCGGGGACCCCCCTCCCCAGGCGCCACCATGCTGGACCCTTCGTCCAGCGAGGAGGAATCGGATGAGATCGTGGAGGAGGAGAGCGGCAAGGAGGTGCTGGGCTCGGCCGCGTCCGGCGCGCGCCTGTCCCCCAGCCGCACGAGCGAGGGCTCGGCCGGCAGCGCGGGGCTGGGCTGGCGCGCGGCCGGGGCCGGGCCGGGGCGGCGCCGGCGCGGCGGCAGCGGCGGAGCCAGCGGCTTTGGGCCGGGGGGGTCTGCAGCCCAGCAGCCGCGCCGGCGGCGGCCGGCCCTCCAGCCCCAGCCCGTCGGTGGTGAGCGAGAAGGAGAAGGAAGAGTTGGAGCGGCTGCAGAAGGAGGAGGAGGAGAGGAAGAAGAGGCTGCAGCTCTATGTGTTCGTGATGCGCTGCATCGCCTACCCCTTCAACGCCAAGCAGCCCACCGACATGGCCCGCCGGCAGCAGAAGGTAGGTGCGCCTGGCAGGCCCAGGGAGCGGCGCGGGGACGTCGCCGGGCGGGCGGGCGGGGCGAACAATGGGAGCTGGCGGCGCAGCTGGAGAGGAGGAGCAGAAGAAGGTGGAGACCGCGCCCTGGGGAAAGGGCTACGGGGCGCCCTCCCAGCGGCCGGCTCGGCCAGGCCCGATCCAGCCCGGCCCGGAGCGCGCCAGGAGCAGGGTGCGAGCACGGGGGGCCTGGAGCGCCGCGCGGCGTGCCCGAGACTGCCAGTCCCGGAGCGAGGCAGGCAGGCAGGTCCTGCTTTGTCGCCTGGGAGGCTGGGGAGTGACTCGCAGCCCGCAGCGCGCAGAGAGGCCTTGCTGGCTCGCGGGGCTCCCAGCGCTCTCCAGCGGCGGGCGGCTGCGCTCGGCTCCGGCCCGCCCTCCTGGGCGTGCGCTCGGCGGGCGGGGGCCCGGCAGGTGGCGGCGCCGCGGTGGAGCCCGGAGAGCGTCTGGGAGCCGCGCTCCGCTGGCTCGGGCGGAGAGAGCCAGCCCGGGAGGCGAAGCTTCCCGTGACTCTGCGAAGGGCACACTCCTCTCCGTCCCCGGGCCAGCTGATCACCCACTAGGGTCCCCGAGAGCCCGGGGCACGGCGGTCCTCCGGCTGGGGTTCTCTCCATGGCCCCTGACCCTGCCTCCCTAACCCCGGGGCAGGAGAACGCCCCCTGGTCCTTGCGCCCGGTCAGCCTCTCCACCTTCCTCTCTCTGACCCTCTTCTCCTCTCCCCAAGGTGACTTCGCCGCCACCTTCTGGCTCGCCGAGGCCCTCCTAGCCCTACCGCTCCCGGCGTGATCAAGTACAGCTGCAAAAAGCCTCGCAATTAGGGCATCAAAAGCTTTTTGTGTCTGAGGCTAGGGAAAGGCTGGGGCGGCTCTCGGCTGCCTTTGATGTTAAAAAAAGAAAAAAAAAAGTGCCTATTTCTATCAGCTGTTCTCCAGCCAGAGCAGCTAGGCGTGGGGGTTACTGCTGGACAGAGGGGCAGTGTCGGGCGGCGGTGGGGGTGGGGGACCAGGAAAGAACTCAGGAACCCAGCTGGAGTGAGTGCAAAACTCTCTATTCTGTCTCTTAAATGAATATGCCGCACTTGAGCTGACCGAGCAGCCAATCCAGCCCCCAGAGGGGTGAGAAGCCAGCCCCAGCCCCATCAAGTTTCTTAAAATAGTGAATTTCTCCGTTGCTGCCGTTTAAGACTGGATTCTATGTCGCTGTAGTAGAGTGTTAGGTTTTCAGTAATTATCCACCCTTATCTCGAGTTAGCACAATTTCTCTGTTGTTTGTTTTGCGTACATGTGTACACACACGCCACCCAGCACTGATGATTTATTTCAGCTGTCACAAGCTGGGATGTTAGTTTTATTTAAAGATAAAACTCATTTCCTGGGCAAGAGACTGCAGGTTGGCTACCCAGCCCCCCCCCCCATCCCTATCTGTTGTCCCTTGCTTTCTTCAGTCTATATTTTGGACTGCAGTAGAGCAAAAGTATCCTCGGAGCAGTAAAAAGTTTTTTTGGATAATGTTTTTAGGTTGGGTGTTAGGTCCATGGGACCTGATATTTCACCTTGCAGCTTGGAATTATTACGGTCATTGTCTCTTCATGCCTTGGGAAATTCCATCTCCAAAGTCTATCCTGTTAATAGCACCAACCAAAGATGTCCTATTCTTTTGGCAGTGAAAGCTGTTGTGACTTAGAGAAAAAAAGCTTCCACGTCTCAGCCAAAGGCTCTAGAGCTCTGTCTTTAGGCATCAGTCCAGCACGAGTACAGAGAAAGAAATCCCACAGAGACCCAGTTCTTCTAAAGAGAACATTCAGCCACCTGAGAGAGATGATCGTGATTGTTCTGATTTGATTCTATGTTTTAACTGAATCCATTCAAAGCTGTGGCTTTTGAGGGGCAAGCTGGTTCTGTTTTTACACACATGACCTTAACATCAGAGAGACTCTGAAACAGATTGATAGCACTGGCATTTGGCCGAAGTATTTTTGGTTATTGCAGCAAAACTATTGCTAAATGCAAATCCCAACAAAGCTACCCCACAGCTGTTTGCTATACTGGGAAGCTGAGTATCCATCTCCTTATTCCAAAAAATAGTAATAGCGTCTCCATTGTTATATCTTTAAGTTGTTCATGCCTTTCTGGCAAAGAGGGTTTTGCTCTTCTCCGAGTAGAAAGCTTAGAACTCTGATTTTTTTTAAATGAGCAATCATCGAAAGTAATTAAGAAGTTTAATGCATAATCATTGTGGCAAAATTTAAAGCCAGCAAAAAGGGTTGATGAAACTAAGCTTAGCCTAGGAGAAAGATAAATTAGTTGTAAACTAAACATGAGTTTGCAGTAGAATAGAAATGGATGAAGTAGGAAAAAATAAAAAGAGGAAGAATGATGTAGAGAAAAGGAAAGAGAGGGGACTGTCTGGGAAAAGAAATGCTGAATTGGGGAAAAGAAGAGATGATATAGAATATAATGTACTTTATGAAACCAAATAGTCTATATCATAATACTGGCTACCATTTCTCAAGTACTTACTATGTGCAAGGCACTTCTTTGTCATTTTTTTAAAAAATAGGTTTGATTTTTTAAAAAGTTTTGATTTTTTTTTTAGAACAGTTTTAGATTCACTGAAAAATTGAGTAAATAGCACAATTCCCATATACCCCCACACTGGGTCCCCCCTCTTATTATCTTACAGTGGTATGATGCATTTGTTACAATTAAAGAACCAACATTGATATGTTATTAACTAAAGTCTGTAGTTTATTCAGATCTCCTTAGTTTTTACTAAAATTCCTTTTTATGTTCTTAGGCCCTTTTTAATTATCCTTATAATTCTGATAATGTGCAAATTGCCATCCTCATTTTTAGAAAAGAGAAAACTGAGGCTCAGAGAGGTTTGGAAATTGCCCCAAACAACAAGGAAAAAAGAGAAAAAAGTGGGAATTGGGACGTGAAACATTCTGAGTTCAAACCCTATCTTTGTAATTTGAGACACTGGCCAGAAATATTCTGGTATAAAAAGAGAAACCTGGCATCCTGACAACACTTCACCCAAGTGTTGTGTTCTAGGTGCTTCTTTATCCACAGTTATTGCTATTTGAGTTGAGAGAGGCACCCCAGTCTTCCTCTGGACACCTGTCAAATATAGCCACCAGGTTAGTGACTTGATAAACAAGATGAAGGAGAGAGATGGCCTGGGAGCTGGGAATCTGAACACCAGACTGTGTCAGCCTTTCTCTGTGGTTCGAGCTGAAAGATAAAAAAATATAAATATTTTAGCTTAGAAGAACAATGGAAGGAGGATAGGGAGAAGGCACAATTGCTCAAACAATTTTGATCGTTAATTACTTTGGTTTCACTTTTACTGGTAAAAAGAGTACATTTCAATACCTTCCCAATTAAAAGAGGGGCCTTTAAACAGACTACTTGAAAAAAAAAACATTTTGTCATTTATAGGCATATTTTGCTTGCATGACTGTGAATCTAAATATATAACATGGTGATAATGATAATTTATGACCAAAACAGACTGTAACAATATATGTTTCAGCAGCTCATAAGTGACAATTTAGAAAACAGTTCTTTGCTTTTTTTTTTTCTTTTGTCAGAATGGTACAGTGAATACCTAGAAGTTGGCATGGCAAACATACACCATATGTTTCTAAATCATGTAGTAACGGTGATGGGTGACTACCTCATGCGAACTAGCTAGTCACAGCTAGTTCATTTAGGGGATGTAAAAGCAGGCGCCATAAACAATTCTGTGTAATATTTAGATTGGCATGACCCATTCTTTTAATTGGACAGGAATTATTCATAGTGCCTGGATTACAAATAGTCTAGAATGAGTTTTACGTGTACGCATGTAGGTGTATAGACATGTGTCTCTATATGTCTAGGATGAAGGAAAGGGGCAGATCCTAGCACCGTGTCTCCTCTATGGCAACTCCTGTTCCACTCAAGAGGACTTTATGACCACATCAGATGTGTTGTAAATTCAAGCTACCCACTTCCGTGTGATTCAGCTTGTAACTTTCCATGAAATTATGGCTAATGTTGAGTCACTGTTAGCCAGGGAAATTCCATCTTTATTCATTTACTGCTTTGCTCTTGTTTAGGAAAGACTCCACAACCATACGATTCATAAAATTTAAGACCCAGTGCTAGTCGACTGCACACGCATGTGTATGTGTGTGAGAGACTTTTAAATCAATAATAGTGATTCATCTATTCAGATATGCTTGGAGGCATTTGGTTTGCTCTACTATTCAAAATTCTTAAGGCTTGCTTTGTTACTACAACATGTAATTTGTATTCTAAAAAATAATAAAATATTCTAACCTTTTGAGAGAATGAAGTGACTGTTTAAACCAGGTTTTCTTTAAACAGCATTATGTTTCTCTATCAGGGGAAGAACTGAATTATTTAAATATCCCTTTTGGCATTTCTCCCCCAGTTTCCTTGGTGCAGTGGGAAGGAACTGTTAGGCACTGATACTAGCAGAAACATTCAGAAGACGTAGGATACCAAACCAGTAATGAGAGGTTCTTGCCTCATTACACACTTGGAATAACCTTATTCCTTCCCTAAGACTGGACTGAAGGACGAAGGAAATCTTCCATTCCTGAAGAATCATCCTGTGTAAGAAGATAAAAGTCAAATGAGTTAGAGATCTTTCCCTTGCAAAAGGAAATTTAATACACAGCCGATTGAAATATTACCAGTATTTGTGATTTGGGGCCAGGTGTCAATAGAACTTAGGGTGAAATGACAGTTCTAACTTAGAACTAGGTTCCAAATAAATGACATGTTGCTCATTGCACCAAGCTAGCCTTTGTAGAAGAACCAAAAGGAACCAGTGAGAGATGGTTCCCGAACTGAGGAAGCGTATATTCTAGTTTGGAAGATAACATACATACATGCCAAATAAGTTCAATAAGAAAGTTTTAATTATAAGATGCTGATCACAGGGACCAAAGT